TCAAAAATTACGCTTGAATCCAATTATGACCAATTATACTATTTTTATTTAACTCGATTTTTATCCTAACTTAAAAAATATATGTATTAATCTACACTAATCTTTAACTTGCCAAGAAAATCAATCTGTTTATTTAAATGCTGTGAAACATGTTTCTCACTCTATGCAAACAACCAAGATTTCCAAAATAAGTACTATGTTTAGCTCATCTACTGACACACCTAACCTAACAAGACGGTTGATGACGTCAGCTCAATGCTCTTATCACTCGTCGTAAGTTGTGATAAGGACCCTGGGGAGAAGAATCACTCAGGGTGGAGTGCTGACATTGATACAGCGACTCATCAGTCCCGGCTACATGATATATACCGATATACTTTCTTTTAGGCCAGGATTTAACCCTTTTAAGTGTTGGTGGTTTAACTTTGGGTTAAAAAAATCGTGTATGAGTTTACACTGTTATGACAATCCATTTAATGCTCAAACTCAAATTCAAATCTTTTTTTTGACATTTGCTACAAACTGCATAATAGTGTCAACAAAATTTATCTTTTACTTTACTTTAATACTTTTTTATGAAATGGCGAGCATACAAAGTAGGTATTTTAAACCAAGTATGAATGGAGATGAGTGTAGGATGAGTGGCGCGATCTTGTAGTCTTGTTAGTGACTAAGGCCGACATTCCTTAGACACAGCTGTTAATTAATAGCCCATACAGCTAATGGCAACTAAGGGACCTACAGTTTTTAGTGGAATTATATTTTGCCTTGGTATATACGAATCGGTCCAATTATCAGGATAGTACTGCGGATAGTCGTAGTACTCACTCGTGCGGACGTTAATCCACACTAGGGAGTATCGCATCCACAGTGCATGCCTATAAATATCCACAATATCTTAAACAAATAAAAACAAAATTTTCTTATAGATAAAATCTAAAAACTAAAGGTCATTGTTCTTTTAAAAAGTCTTCAACACTGTAACAAAAGCGTGATAAAAATAGGCTCTTGGCCCCTTTAACAATTTGTCTACACTATTTTCCATCTTCAGGGGAGTGGGCAGTGCATTGAACAGTTAAATGTCATTGTAAAATAAACGATTAAAAAAAAACTGTTTTGTGTTTTGGAATGTCTAAATCGGACCGGCTTCTCAAACCATAGGAAATAGGGCGAGACAGATTTTGAAAAAGGTCAATATTTTTCTTAACAAAAACAAGACAGTTTAAGATATACATGGACGGAAAAGTAAGAATTTCATTGTTCACAAACAGTGTTTTAAAGGAAAATTTACGACGCTTCTTAAAAACTGTTCTGATGGCTTTCGTTTGTAGTTTAAAAACAACAAATGTGTCCAAAATTTTCCTAATTCAATTAAAATTGTAACATTGATTTCCTAGGACCAACACGTTTGCAAACCTTTTCGCTTCAGTTTGTGATGTTTTTGTAACTACGCATAAGTTAAGTACTTTAAAATCTATGTTGTCTGCTATAAGTGTGTAATTCATATCCAAAATTTGATTCTAAGCATGCGTTTTTTATATTATAGGCCTACAAATATTCACAAAATTGAAGAGAACATTTTTTACTGAAGTATATCTAATTTGCACACTACAACCCTCCCACTTAAAATTGTCCCTATGATTAACATAAAACATTGTAGGACAAAAATAAAAAGTTAAATAGTCACATGTTTGTCCAAAACGGAAAAGGAACTATGATATATTATTATACTCAATCGATGCCAATTTATCAGGTGGCTTACAATACACAATAGTTAACTTATTGGAGAAATGATGAAACTTTTGATTCTTTAATTTTTACCAAATTTACAAATACGTTTATGTCAACTGTTTCCAAAACGTCCAGCAACAATGAACAACAGCTGATATTTACAGCAAGTGTTGCCAACTTATTTTCTCGCGTACGCGACCTACACGACCACCTGGCCTATGTATGTCTTGAACAGTGCCACCACTGCAAATCGAAACTTACAATTCGAAGGGAAACTTTTATTTCACTCTACAGAGAAAGTGACATGATTTAATCACTAGACAATCCGATAGGAGGTCAAAGTCCGCCGCAATAAGTGTGCAGATGATGGCAAAGGGCTCGGTGACTTGATAGATACAATCTTTACAGCTTTGTCCCCGACAGTGGCAACCCTCTCCTTTGTCGTAGAGGACGATGTCAAAGTATTTCTAATTTATAAGCGATTAAAACTGTCAGCTACCGCAGTATTTGCGTTACCTGATGCTAAATGTGTAGTGAGCATTTTTAGTAAAAAAATTCAAAACAAAAATTAAATTTCTCACTAGTTTAAATCTAAGATGACACTTAAAAATTTTAACTTTACAAAATTCATATACCTATTTCATATCATATATCTATTTCAATATTAAACAGTGACTCTGCGTTTCTTTTATTTTCTCCTAAAAATATTTTTTTCTTTAAGACTTGATTATCAAAAGATAGTTTGTTGGTATATTTTTACCACCTTTCAATTCAGTTTACAGAAACATCTAATGATAAATTAAAATGGTACAAATGAACTATTCGTTTATTATTGGTAAATTTTATGTGTTCTAATGTTAGTAGAGAAAGCACTCAATTTTTTTACGATGAATGGCTATTTCTCGAATATGTAGTATGAAATAGTACCGGTAACTAAAAATGTAGTTTGGTCATAACGTGGTTTTTACATTTACGTATTGAACCAGTAATACGAATCAAATGTTATTAAGTAGTTGGTTGGAAAATGTCCAATTTGTATGAGTAATTTGTATGTTTTGATACGAAAACCTATCCGATAAGTTAATTAGGCCTGGTCTGGAAAGTCCATTGTCTAGGTTTTATGGTAAAGTTTGTTAATTCTTGACTGAACAAAAATCAAATACAGCATTTTCAAAATCAAAATATTAAAACGCATAAAGTGTGACAGTGTTTTTTTATCTGTGACTTTATATAAAGTGATGAGGTCTGAATAAGTCTTTACTTTAGCGAATCAATATAAAACATTTCTAAATGTCAATACACTATTTTCAGACGAAGAAACATCATGGTCTTATTTGCATGGTAAAATTACGTTTTTAATTGTGCACTGTTGTTCTACCGCACATTATTTTCTATCATACTAACATTTTATCTCACAAAGATGTGATATTTTGTCAGTTTTAGAGCCCCGACCTGTGGAGTCAGCTGGTTGAACATATGTTGGGGGTTGTAAATCTGGCCTGTGTCGCACTACCCTGTCCCATCCTGTTGCTAGGGATGGCTACAAAACTAGTGTACACCTGGACATATAGCCGAAGAAAAATTTTAAAAATTACTCCATGCAGTAAATAATGTAATCTTTATTCGCATAATTAAGGTGAATTACAATTTAAATCCTCAATAATCTTTTTTTTTGCGTCACTTTGAATTTGGTAACTTGTTTGGTTACTGTCGTCATTTAAAGTCTAAACATATTTTTATATTTTAGTTTTAGAGTTTTTAGGTAAAATATGTTATATTATCACTTGGGTTTTATCACAGCGGCAAAAACAACCGAGACGAACCCGAGGTTGCAAAAAGGCGAGAGTAAAGAGATGCTGTTTGCATATTTGATTAACTATCTTTAAAGTCATACTGTTCCACTTTTCAAATCACAAACAAAATGTTTTATGTTACCATTATAGTTAAGCAATTAAAGTTGTTTATATCTAGTTTTACCATTGACTATTGGATACAGAAGGTTTTACTATAAATGACGAAAAACAAGCTTTAAGGCATTTCAGTTGTTTGGTGTGCTTTGGTCGTTGTGAAACCGGCTTTTTGCTGCAAAAAGACGAGAAGGATGTGAAAAGATAGGCTACATATTAGTTATAAATTAGGACTCTTGATAGTAGCGGAAAATCATATTTCATAACTGGTTAGCCGAAAATTGTTCGGTCCTACCTGTGAAAATCACTAAATAAGCGGAAAATCATAATATAAGCGGAAGAAGCCAATAATCTATTTAATTTGCGTAGTCTATTGTAATATATAACACAAACTCAAACAATCAAATGTTTATTCGTATAATGTGGTAAAAAGTCATAAATTATACAACTTTTTAAAACCTGTTATCGAACCTATTATCTAATTCGCTGAATACTTTCTGATTTCCCAACTTCAACGATGGGTACATTGGTACACATTTTGTTTTTACTTCCCAACCAAGCAATACTAAATTTTTTACCATATAGCTCAAAAGCGTTCGTCATCACAATTGCACCCTAGAGTTGTACACATATTTTGTCCACAATTCCTATATAAAAGATATACACAAACATGAACGTTTATTCATTTCGACTGCAGCCCTTGGGGGATTCCCTCGCTTTGACCGATCATACTGTAGTTCCGCTACCCGCCACCACACATTGCAGCGCTGCAGGCACGGGATGTTTAAAACACCAACCCCCCTCAGTATATTGCAGCCATCATCACTCTTGACTTAAAAAAGTGTATGCCTAAAAGTCAAATAGTATAAACAATACGAAAAACTTGTAAATTATGATGGTATGACAACAAAAATTAATGCATTTGGCACAAATCCCCACCTATCCGATTTTTCCGTTATTTTATGGGTTGTTATGATTAATTTACCATTAAAAATCAAAATTTTGAATAAATGAAAAACAATGCCTGGAGATACCATGGATACCTACATTGCAAATTTCATCAAAATCGGACAACAGGCTGTTGCTCTGTACACATCCACACACACGCACACAGACATCACTTCGAAAACTACTGTTTTGGGTTCAGGGGGACCAAAAACAGATATATTCATTGAAAACTCAAACTCGAACATTTTGACGGAAACAACACTTTCTCCATATACTATGTAAAGGGGGAGAAAGTAAAAAATCCAAACACAAAATACTTAACTATTTTTTCTTTAATATACTCCAAGTACACGAGGGTAAAACATACTCAAACGTGTTTACAAAACGTTTAAGGACAAAAATATACTTACGGACCTTTGAGAGCGGGGCAGATCCGCTTCCAGATGGTGAGACAGCCGCAGCGATGAAACTGGCCGAGGGCGAGCTCCATGTAGAACAGGGGAAGTCCTCCGAACACCAACATCATGCAGTAGGGGATGAGGAACGCTCCTGGAACATGAGGGGACATGATAGAAAATTGTCAAAGAAAATGGAAGATTATATAAATAAAATGGACTAGTCTTTGAAAAGTAAAAGCGAAACATCTTTCGATAAGAGCCTTACGAAAAATTATAAATTTATATGCGACTATTAACCAACTATTTATATTATGATATAATGAAATTTTGATAATTGATTGAAACACATTCTTCTGCACGTATTTCGTTTTTAGCCAGAAGTCATAATAGTTCATATATTCAGTCGAATTTGGCCTTGATGTATAAAACCTATGATGTAACGTAAATACTCGGAACTTTTACATACGATATCCTAGACTAGTAACCAGTCGTAAAAATGGCAGTTAAAATAAAATTTAATAGCTTAGAAGATATTTTAAAGGTCCTCTAAACATGTTTCATAAGGATCCTTAGTTTTTCTGCTATTTGAGATAAATCTAAAATAATTCGAGTACAAGTTTTTTAACTAACCCAACCATAGCCTGTTTGCATGTAGATGGATCAAGTCTTTGGAATTTACCTGTGCCGTGATTAATAACATGAAAACAAAATCTAATTTTACAAACTAATTTTTAAATCTGTTTAGCATAATAACGTTAATTCTAAAAAGTGGAATAAATATTCTAATCAGCTGTGCTCCTATAATTAAAACAGAGGAACATAATCGTGAATGTTGTTTTAGCAGCCTTTGACGCGGATAAAACTCGTTAAAAGTCAGGTGATTAATTGGTCACGTGATTGGTTCTTACGTAATCAACCAGCTGATTGAATCATGCGCTCATCAGCTGTTTACTTGAATTTTCCTTTCATTTTGTTGTGCAACGAACATCGTTAATTTTGTTTTCTTATTATTTTTATTTTGTACTGAGACTGTTAAAACCATTTAGTAAATGTATTGAACACTCAAAGTTTTAGACTTTCAATAGTTATTAGCAGTGTGATGTTTGTAAAAATTTATCTCAGTTGTTTAAGAGATTAAATTATTTCTATACATAAAGCAAACAATGTTAGTCTCTGAGTGAAGAAGAATTTACATTGTAAAATTTAATCCAAGCACAAGACATATTTTAGTCCGTCATATTCTCAAATGAAAAAGAAACATCTTGATCTACAGTCTCTGGAATATAACTGAAGTATATTATAACTGATTAAATACAACAAACATAAAGTTTTGAATCGTGTGAAATTCATTGGTCTCCTTTCTAACACGGGAAATCTAGATATTTTCCTGGTTATATTAGCCAAGATTTTACGCAAATAATTGAAGTTCAATCATAGTTAGTTTAAAATTTATGAATTAAAATAATTAAATAGTAATAAAAGTTTAAAATTAAAGATTAAATCAGTAAGTTAGTTAATCGGTTGTGAAAATCGATTACGTCATACGATCAATTTAATAACACAACAACTCCCCGAATTTGGTTCATTGTATTTGTAAATAGTAGGCTAGTCCAATAATTATTTATTTAACATGAATGCAAGTAAATTATTTATTTAATAATATATAATAACCACTCACACTTTTAATGAGCCATCTTCATTTAGTTTATAATGGTTTTCGTTGTAATACATTTCTGATTATACACTTTTTTTAGCATTGCTGTATTTTACAACATCAGGCACCAAATCTTCCTCAGAACTGTAATCATGTTTGGTTTTTACAATGCTAAGAAATATCATGAAATAGACTTTTAAAATAATTTTTGTACTCGAAGATAGTTTAAAAAGTATATTCTTTACACCACACACTCGTTGATGTAAAATTATCGATTTCATATCATATCTTTAAATAACTAAACTGTGGCTTTAAATCTCTGATTTACTGGGAAAATATGTTTTTTAATGTGTCATTTGATTTGATTTAAATAAATTTTACTTCAAAATTTAGGAAACTATCTAGGAAAATATAGGACTACTCGCAATGCTATCCTGATAATTAGACCAATTCGTATATACCAAGGAAAAAAAATTGCTTCGGATTCCACTATAAACTGTAGGTCCCTTGGTTGCCATTAGCTGTATGGGCTATTAATTAACAGCTGTTTAAGGAACAAGTCGACCTTAGTCACTAACAAGCCTACAAGATCGCGCCACTCGTCCTACACTCATCTCCATTTATACTTGGCTTAAAATACCTACTATGTATGGTCGCCATTTCATAGAAAAGTATTAAAGTATCGCCTATTAAATTCACGATCAAATCCACTATTGCTCCAATTTAGTAAAAAAATAATAATTTAAACTCAAGTGACACTGGTGCAACCTAGTAGCCGAGGTGTACTTTAGGATTGGTTATTTTCGTCACAAGCTAAGATACATCCCACTTCATTATTCACTCCTTCACTCATATTTGGGTCGATCCCATCCTAATTGATAATGATAATGATAGTACAAAAACTTGTATCAGCTTGACTGTGTTTCCCCCCTCTCTCCCCATTTATTCCCCCCCCCCCCAGAGGAGATCAAAGTCCGGGTTGTGATCCACCACTTCCCACTTTACCACATTGTGGGAAATGATTACACGATGACGGCGTCAAACTCAAATATACAAAAGCTTTATGACATTCTCGATGCTATGTAGCTGGACTAGAGATATTATTATGAATGAAACGAATGTAGAATATTGGGAAAATATTTCAAATGGTGTACAAGTTGTTTTCATCTGACTAAAAGCTATATACAGTTGTTTTGGGCTTAAGTAACTTAATTATTATTCATTTGAAAATCAGCTATATTTTTTGTTTTTGTGTTTGAATTTTAATGTAGCACGTTATAATTATTCGTGGATTGTAACCGACATATTATGAAGTAGTTGGGGAGTCATTCAAAATTATATATATACGCCTAGTATAGTACGTTTTCTAAAATAATCCGTAACAGTATTGTTTATTCTTACTTTGCACTGGTTTAATATTCCAGTCTGTAGAGGGACTTTTATCCAATAGTGGAGGAACTTGTGCTAAATTAAGGAGTACATCATATAAATAATCTTACTAATACACGAGTTAAATTGTTTAAAGTGAGTTGAAGATCAAAAATATACAACTGAATATTATACTGTGATAGTTCACACGTAGGAAAACAACAGAATTCTGCGAGAAATTGTTTCTTCAACTATCTAAATCGTATTACCGAGGTGGTAAAAGAAGGGTAACGGCAATCTTCACAGTAACGTCTTTTGATTTAGCCAACTTTGATCTCATGTTTGAAAGATATCACATCAATCATTTTACATCATTGAGTTTGAGGTCTAAAGTCTCCTGAACAATATTAAACTGTGATCGGCAAAATTGTTTCTGTTCACTAACATACAAAAAATACAATTTTCTTTTTAAGGTGGACAGAATCTTGGCTTTTGCTTAATAAAAGAGCCGGGTTGGTACTGAATTGTTTTTCAAATTGCAAATAATTTAAAATCCTTTCTTTTAAGGTACATACTTTTAACCCATAAAGCAAAACATCGAGACGATTTAAAAGTACAATGAATTTTAACATTTTATGTCATGTCATTCAAGGAACAAACACAGTGATCATTAAGTTACCCACATTTTCTGTGGTAGAAACCTATTCAATATGGTTGATTTTAGGAAAAACAATCCACAAACAACAGCAACAATGTCAATGTAATGTGACAGTGGGATAAAGAACATTCTGTAAAATTTGAACCCCCACTTATGGCAGAGTTAAGAGACTGCAGTAGCCTACATAAGATGTAGCAAGGACCTATAGATGAGGCTGAGGCAAAATCAAATTTTATAAATATAAAACTTAAAGGTTGTTAAAAGACGTTAACAAGGAATCTTGAGGAGACTAGGTTAGTTCAGCTAGATTTATTTCTGGAAAAAGGAAGTTATGTTTCGGTGATTTTAATAAGCGTTTACACTAAACCCGAGGGTAGTACTGACCTCCGCCATTCTGGTAGCAGATGTAGGGGAAGCGCCAGACGTTGCCGAGGTCGACTGCGAAGCCGACAACTGCGAGGAGGAACTCGACCTTCTTGTCCCAGGTCTCTCTCGGAGGAGGCTGTCTCGCCTTGGACACCACCGCCTCCACCACCGCCTCCTCCTCCTCCCCGTCCGACATCCCCTCGCTGTAACAGAAACATGATAGTGAGCAACTCTACCTTCTTGTACCAGGTCCCCTCCTCCACCTCTGCTACCTCCTTCACCTCCACCTCCTCCTCCACCTCCACCTCCTTATTCTTCTCAACCTCTTCCACCTCCTCCACCTCCACTTCCTTATTCTTCTCCACCTCCTTATTCTTCTCCACCTCCCCCTCCTTATTCTTCTCCACCTCTGCCATCTTCTCCACCTCCACCTCCTTATTCTTCTCCAACTCTACCACCTTCTCCACCTCCACCTAATTATTCTTCTCCACCTCTGCCATCTTCTCCACCTCCACCTCCACCTCCTTATTCTTCTCCACCTCTGCCACCTTCTCCACCACCACCTCCTTATTCTTCTCCACCTCCACCTCCTTATTCTTCTCCACCTCTGCCACCTTCTCCACCACCACCTCCTTAATCTTATCCACCTTTGCCACCTTTGCCACCTTCTCCAACTCCACCTCCCACTCCTCCTCCACCTCTGCAACATCCTCATCCCCTCCTTCTCCACCGGCTCCTCCTCTACGAGTGCCACCTCATTCACCATCGCCGTTTGAAACCGTAAATAATTAGTTAAAATAATTTAGCCTAAAATAGTTTATTTTGATGGATTCTATTGGTGATACGACAGCCATTGAATTTAGGTCATTAAGAATTATTACAAGTAGACTATCATACTTCTTTTTTTAGTCCTTCTTTGAAGTCATGTTGTATATCATCGATTATATAGCATTATATCTATCCTTACCGTAATATCGGACGTAAAACTATTCTACATAGATATGTCTACACTACACCACATATTTTTGAATTTCCACGACAATATTTATACTCACAATTGTTTAGGCTTTACCCACTAAGTGGATTTCATAGAAATTTAAAGTTGTCCGAAGGATATTTCCTAACATTATATAGCATAAGCCATTCAAGGGGCTTTGACGGGATTGGCTTACGGCGGCTCTTGTGGTATTCTCAGCTTCATATTTTATGTTTTATAAACGTCCATCCTTACAGCACTATCATGAAAGGTTACATTCTAGCTTTAACTTTGACTTACAAATATGTTAGATCGAAACAAAGCCTGTTATAGTCATGAAACACATATAAAATTGTATATAAAAATACGCATATATTAAAATATGTTGAGAATATAGTATATAATTATGTTTTATTTGTTCAATATACTAAGCTGTTGTCTGAATAACGTAATGTAACAGCTAATATGCGTGACAATGTTATTGCCTAAAAGCAAAAGCAAGCGTTATCAGATAGATCTAAATTGCGGTTTAGTTCATTGCGTGAATCTCCTCTGTGGTTAATCCCATCGGATTTTATCGACCATCGAACAATTGTTTGGAAATCCTATATAAGGTTTGTTGTTTTTATATGTGCTGCGTTTAAAGAGTTTAAATTTTCTTTATCAAACAATAGGCGATCAGTTTTAAACAAACTGCTAAGAAGGGCCTTTGTTAAACACTCACTTGATTTGCCCTTTTAAAACATTCCAATTGTTGCCTCTTAAGACTTTTTCATTGTTCTATTATCAATTTGAACAAATTTTGCATATTTTTAAAGCTTTTAACATTTCACTATAACCAATGTTTTTACGTTCACTGTAGCAGCAAACCTAAGAACTTGTTTTACCTAATGATATTTAAATAGAGAAAACTATCACATGTAGAAATAGTTTTGTGACAATCCGTTTAATTGAATGAAAATTCGCTAGTCTGCAGGTCTGTGCGACGGAGCTACTTACTGTGAATGAGTTTTGCAAAATATATTTTTTAGTGTGGTAATTTTTAAAGGCTGATAAAAATGACCACCAATAACACATCTACTCTGAAAATGGATTTAGTTTATTCACAATAACCAGTGGCATTTTTATATGTATATAATAAACTAATAATCGGAGTTTCCAGGTAAACAGACCACAAGACCACCTAATTAATCAATTTATCAACGAAAACTTCGTGCCAGGAATTCCACCGGACCGCTAAGCGTTGTTTAATTTAAACTTTTGACTATCCACATGCGGTTGGTTTGTAGAGTTAAGCACAAATATTGGGTATGTGAAATAAAGTGAGTTAAGTTGTGTTGAATATCGTAAAACGAAGTTTTGAAATACATTTTTACAGATTTTTCAGCACTAAGTAATTAAGCTCTAACCATTTTCCTATAATTCCCCCTTCGAATTTTTCATCGATCACTCAGTTCAATAGTATAAAATAAAATTTACAAACAAATACCCCCGCCGCAGCAAACCTGCAGACTTAGCGAATTTCCATTTGCCTGATTGGATTTAAACTAAAATGTCTCCTTAAAAATATCACATTTATTCCCAATTTAAACAGAATTAGTTTAATGAGTACTTAGGTTTGCTGCAACAGGGAGGGTAAAAAAGTTTTTTTATGTAAAATATTAAAAGGTACTGTGGTTTAGTAAGAAATTAATGTATTTTCCAAATTTGATCAAAATATGTTCATAAACAAGCAAACAACAACAGTTATTCTCGACTTATTCTCCATAAGAATAACATAAAAATTTTAAAATGACAATTTTTTTTAATTTTCTCCGCAACAATTAGGCGCATAATAACGCTTCAATATACTAAATTATTTGTTTTTTTAAGCTCTACAAAACGGTTTAAAAAGAAATTGTGAAATTTTGTGTTTTTAGGGTCAAAAATGGGAAAAACCTATTTTTACCCCATAAAACCCCCATAAACGTTCCCATAGTCCGATCATGCTGGTTCGCGAACTCATTCAAGTTTATCCCGCCTTACACCTTCAAACCAAATTTTATCAAAATCGGACAAAAATTACTCAAGTTATCGTGCGGATAGACACACACACACACATATATATATATATATATATATATACATATAGATATATAACATTTTGAACGAATGGTGTTTTTGGCCTCTGGGGACATCAAAATGAAAAAGTAAATCGGTCCCGGGCTTAGGTCTTACCATGAGACCTACGGTAATAGCTACTTCCCTATAGGGAAATTCGCTAAAATAACATCTTAAATATTCAATTAATCTTAATTATTCAACGCTTTTAGGTTAATATTGTGTTCAATATACTTAAATCTGTCTAATACAAGCTATAGTCCTTTTTCTAAGCATTTTCAACGAAACATCAAAACTGTTAACGTCTATAGACCTTTAGTATTCAACCATTCCGCCATTGTTTACTACTTTGGCTTTGTACACAATCGTTACAATTTAGTAATTGTGCTAACTACAGACAATGGTTAGAACCGACTAACAATAGACAACAATGATTATACTGTACACTTCATGGATGTGCTGAATTTGTACTCTTCTGTTGAATAGATGCGGTTTAAATAGTTTTCGCACAATTCCAGGGAACGGTTGGCCGCAGAAAAATCTATTGGTTTTGGTCACATTCACTGAAGACCTAATTGTTTAGACACAAGGTGTTTTAATAACTGTAAAGTTAAAATCCCCATGCTCTTCTTATGAAGCTAGTTAACCATTGTGGTTTGCTTATTTAGGGATATATTTTGACCAAATTGGGCTAATTACTTAATTGCATAATAATCAATTAACATTTCAGTAAAAAAAACCACTAAGTGCTCATTGAAATTAATGCTATTTAAATACAAAAAAACCCCTGAAGGGGATATTTTAGTGAAAATCTAACTAAGTAAATCTACAATCGCTTAGTCTGCAGGTTTGCTGAGACAGGGGTATCTTTGCATCCGCCCCAGTTTACTATTTACATAAAACCCCGTATTATGTCAAAAATAGTTGTTGGTAAATGTGTTGCAATTAAGTTGAAAATGGTAGTGACATAAAGGGCCCAGGAATTAATTTTGGCCTCATTGATTCATTTTGGTTATCCTTCTCTGTAAACATATTAAAGAATATTATCTTCTTTATTTTTCCTCTGTTAAGTTTATGTAAGTCGTACATTCAATTCAACCTACGACATGAGAAGATGTATTTTCATTTTGAATATATACAAATCAATATATACAATTTACTGTATAATGCTTCAGGACTATATATATTTGTATTTTATTTTTTTTGAAAAATTGTAAATTTTTATATATTGTGGAAATAAAACTGATTTGATTTGATTTGATATTATATCTGTCATTTATTGAACTCCTAGTTATTCTAGGAACATAGTTTACAAGTTATTGTTTGCAATTAAGAATAAGAATATCTACATAGAATAAGAATAAGAATAACAACAATAAAGATTGTTGTTAAATAAAACTTCACAATTGACAACGTCAGAAAAAATTCTATTTTTCTATGAATTAGGTCTAGTAAAAAAAAAACAAAAAAACTATATATTAGACATTTGATATGATATCCTAAAAACTCTTCTTCTGAATAAAAACTTCGTCAAGAAGCCAATCAGCCAATTTATTTTTAATTTAACAAATTTAAGCTGTTGAAACAATTATTGGAATTATCTATTGCCGATTAAAACAGATATTTTTATTAATTCAAAAAGTCAAATTAAACGTTGCCTTGCCGTATAAATTATCCAATTATTAAATTTAAATGTTCAAATACTCCAGCCAAACTGGAGTTATTTAAATAAAATATTAATCCTGTGAAAATTATAAAGCAGTTTATTTTGACTGAGAAAAATAACCTTTGATGAATAAACTTTCGGGATCACCTGCCGTCTGCTGTCAGAACGTAAAAGTTTCAACCTTTGAAATAAAAACCGGGAAGTTTATAATGAAAGGGCTGGAAACGTTTAATTAATTGCTAAGTAAATATATTAATTACATAGTGAAATGTAACACTTTTTAAATGAGGGAAGCAATATTTTGGAAGCTTAAAATCTATTAATCACGAAAGCCTGCATTTTTAAATCGACGTTGTTAAGTAAAATATCGTAGAATGCTTGGGGAATAGCGCTTTTATATTTTAATCATAATAGAAATTCTTAATCCAATAATTTTGTTGTTTTTGTATCCTACTATTTCT